ATTGCTGGTACATTTTACCAGTTTTTACCATACTTTCAAAACAAAAATTAAAATAGGAAAAATATGCAATATGAAAATAATTGAAGACAAAATGTGTTTTACTGAGAAAAAACAAGATTCGGTTTTTAAAAAGCCTTTTTCCAAAAGATACATCTGGAAAAAGGGCGGTCGTCTTATATTCGGGCCAATACGGTATTTAAACTTTATGCAAGTTATTTGCTTTTTTATATTAGGCATAACCTGCTCTATAGCATGGTGTATTTTTATTTGTTTTGTTAATAAAAGCTCTATGTTTTATATATACGCAAAAGTGAGTTTGACGTTGTATTTTGTTGTTGCATCAAGCAATTGACTCCGAATTGCCGCTAATTCGAAAGTGAAAGTAAAATGCGCACGGCGCTTTTACAAGCTATTTAAAAGCGAAGGAACGCGAGGAAAAGAGGGAACGCCACCGCGGTGATACCGGTATTATCGGTGTTGTCACACGTCGATTAAACGGTGGGAAAATGTCCTCACCGTCACAAACTTAGCTTCACATCTGAACAGGATGATGATGTCATTGTGAATATTTATAGAACCGCAAAAGCAGTTAATGATGGTTATGACTGACGAATAACCAGAAAAGCATTTAATAAAATATTACACTTAGTCAATTCTAAATATATAGAAAGACAGACAAAATAAAACATGCCGGCTTTTATTTCCACATATTTATGCAATAAAAATATGCATTTACACCATTTGTTGCTAACACACAAGGGAATTTAGAAACACTGACTACAGAGAGGATAATATGCATCACCATGGAAAAAAGATACATGTTAAATAAAAAATTCACTGGATTTAGGCTGACATGTTAGGATAAAACCTAAGTAACACAGTAAAAGGTAATGTTAGCTTTGCATTGATAAAGTCACTGTTTACATATGCAGATTCATTGTCTCAAGCCTATTCTCTCTAAGCATCAAACTAATATCATTGTCCTTCACTGCAGGTGATCCAGCACTGAATGCTCTTATCAGCAATCTGTCACAAGAATCAAGTCCAGCAAACTGGGTGTTGCAACTGGTGCATGCATAGAAATAAAAACAATATGCATGTCCAAAAAGAATCCGATAACGCATACAGTGGCGTTTATATGCAACTTATAACTGTATGAATTAAAAAACTGCATTATCTCTGACCCTCATTCTGCTGCTGTAAGCTACAATGCTACAGTAATTGCCCCCTCCCTCTCTCTCCATGTTTTAATGAAACGCTATACGGCAGACACTGCGCTCGCGCTACGTGTATTCTTCTTATTGCTTCCTACGAAACCCAGTCACGTAAAACAAGCGCACTCTGGTGCATTTGAATACTGGTGTGAGAAACGACACTTCGGCACATGCACTCACCTCTTCGCTCCCACTCGAGCTGTATCCAGCCTCTCCCAGGCTCTTGTAGCTCGCCTCAAGCCCGAGAAGGCGCAAGTGAGACTGGTCCTCGCTCGGCGCGAGCACCAGGCAGGTGGGCCTCGGGCCTCCGTTGGAGGAGATCTCGTCTAGATCTGTCCCAGAGCGGCCGAGCTGCCATCGCTTCTCCGAACTCAAACGGCTCCGCGACGACCAAGGCCGACCGGGGAAGCGACCCCGCGCCGCGCCCACGCCGCCTGCGCCCACAATGGCAGCCGCGGTTGCTGATCCGCATCCCGCTGCCGCCATCATCGCATTAACAACAACACCGATAGAGAGAAACTCAGGCTGCGAGAAGAGGGAAAGCGCTGAATGGGAGGGGGGGTGGACGCCCGGTGCACTATGGGACGTGTAGGCTGAGAAGGAAGTGTGAAGATGTCAAGACAAAGATTGAATATCTTTTTTTTTTTGGCTGATAATATTTTTATTATATTATTATTTATTATTGTTATTATTATATGAAGCCGAGCTGCCATCGCTTCTCCGAACTCAAACGGCTCCGCGACGACCAAGGCCGACCGGGGAAGCGACCCCGCGCCGCGCCCACGCCGCCTGCGCCCACAATGGCAGCCGCGGTTGCTGATCCGCATCCCGCTGCCGCCATCATCGCATTAACAACAACACCGATAGAGAGAAACTCAGGCTGCGAAAAGAGGGAAAGCGCTGAATGGGAGGGGGGGTGGACGCCCGGTGCACTATGGGACGTGTAGGCTGAGAAGGAAGTGTGAAGATGTCAAGACAAAGATTGAATATCTTTTTTTTTTTTGGCTGATAATATTTTTATTATATTATTATTATTATTTATTATTGTTATTATTATATGAATATTATTTTTACAATTTTATATCATGTCAAAATATATAATACAATAAAATGTAATTCATGTGTAATGCATGAACACTTTTGACTTATTCATTTACTTATTTAAATATACAATATATTTATTATTTATACTATATATATGTGTGTGTGTGTGTGTGTGTGTGTGTATATAATTTCTTATATTATTTATTATTTTAATTGTTTACATAAAATAAAACTGGAAAATATTTATGGTTCTTGAGGTCAGAAGTAAGGCGTTATGATTACTGCTGCATAATAATGCCAGTATAATTCATTTTATTCATTTGTTTGGACATTTCAGTGATTTAAACTCTTTCAATGGACAAAATGAAAGAAAAAAAACCCCCGGAGCCTTCATGCTTGCATCTCCGTATTATATCAGAATCTTTTTCCCTTAATGCACATTTATTATTTTAACATTTAGTCAAATATTTATTTCAATGGATTTTGAGTATATTAATGAGCATTAAGCAAATTGTTCATGCACATGTGAATTACTGTAATGCAAAAATAAATAATATACCATTTAGCTTTTAAATACAATTTATTAAATATGAAATTAGACTTATTATTATTAGCTATTTATTTATATGATGGCAGTACTTGGCGAACTGACTTTAATTTATGCTGATTTAAAAATGATTGAATTGTAGTATTTGTTACAGCAAAACTGTCAAAAAATACTGCGAACATAAAGGCAATTAAAATTAAACATCTGCAAAGATAATTAGTGGTGAATTGTAATGAAAATAATATGATTTTGTAATTTTGTAAATTTTATAATTATTTTTTTATTTTAAAAAAATGTGTTTTTGTGGCATTCACGCAAGGGTTAAATACAACCTATGATGAATGCCAGTCAATTTCAATTCAATTTCAATTTAAGAGTGCTTTACTGGCATGACAAAAAAATTATACATTTGTATTGCCAAAGCAATTGCAGCTGGACTACTTACAAATAGTACACATGTATTAACAGAAAGAAAAAGAATAATAACAATAGTAATAATAATAATAATATATAAAAAGCATGTAGTGCAAAATGGATTACTAATGCATGTAGGTATATAAACTAGAAATAAAAATAAAATAAGGGATTAGACATATTTACAGAAGCAAATCGATTCTATCGATTCACGCCTGTCCCTGAAAACTCCATTACCCATAATCCACCACCATGCAGTGACGTCACGTCATAGTTTTCATCAGGAAGCGGAACCATAAAAGTTATTTTCCCCTCGCCTTTGTTGTGTTAAACCCTCCGTTTTCTCGCCTGAGCTCGGCTTTTAAGGTATCCACCCTCCTTTAATAAAACAAACGATTCGAGTAAGGTTTTAGAGCAGACGGTCTGCCGTAAGCAACCAGTTATTGTTCGCTTGCAGTCCAGTAACGCTGTTTTGACTGAGGTGTAGAGTAGCATGATTTCCATTTGAATTCTTTAATCATTTACACTGTTCCCCAAGCAGTGTTATCATTTTTTTTATTCTGCCTAGATGATTTGATTATGTGACAAAGCTGTGATGGCGGTTTTAATGCATGATGTTTTGCAGTAATCCTAATTTCATTGTAGCTATCATGTATTATGGCAGTACTGTTTAGTGTAGATGGCAGCAATGTTGCAGCATATTGAGGATACCTGTGGATGGATGGATGGATTTATCAAGTGTTTTCTTTATAGGAAACATTATGAACCTTGAACGGATTCCGAATGAGGAGAAGCTTGGCCTCAGTAGAAGATACTACCTGGGTATGTTGAGACAATGGGACATCATGACAGAATGGGATGTGTTTTCTGTACACAAGTTGTTGTTGTTTTCTTCATTGTGCTGATTTGTTCCTCAGGTGGCTTCGCTTTTCTCCCTTTCCTCTGGTTGGTGAACGTTCTGTGGTTTTTCAGAGAAGCGTTTTTAAAACCGACGTACACCGAGCAACCCCAAATAAAATCATGTGAGTATGTGACCGAACACACGTGATGACTCACTACCTCTACCACATTGTTGCGGGTGATATAGGTTCAAAATCTGGGAGTCATTTTTGATCCTGAATTGAAATTTGACAAACAGATTAACTCTGTAGTCAGAGCCAGTTTTTTGCAGGTTAAGGGGCTTCGCAAGCTGAAAAGTTTTCTCCGTTTTAATGATTTAGAGGTTGTTATTCATGCGTTCATTGATCCAACAAGGCTGGATTACTGTAACGCTCTTTATGCTGGAGTTAACCAGTCTTCACGATCACGTTTACAGTTGGTACAGAATGCTGCTGCTCGATTTTTGACCGGGACAAAAAAGAGGGAGCATATGTGTTAGCTTCACTTCACTGGTTACCTGTTCAATTCAGAGTTGATTTTAAGGTTTTAGTTTTTAAAGCACTTCATGGTCTTGCCCCAACTTACATTTCAGATCTTCTCCATTTCTATTCTCCTGTGAGAACGCTTAGATCGTCTTCTCAGAAGTTATTGATTGTCCCAAAATTTCGTTTAAAATCTAAAGAAAACAGAGCTTTTTCAGTTCTTGGTCCTACACTCCGGAACACTTTGCCTTTATCCATCAGATCACCCCCTACGTTAACTTCTTTTAAATCATCTCTTAAAACATATCTTTTTTCTCAGGCTTTTGCTTAACTTGAAAATACTTTTCCTTTTTTCTTTGTTTGGTGATGTTTTGCATTACTTCTTGCATTATTTAATTATTTCAAATTGTATATTGTCTTAATGCTTTTGTTAGTTGAGTTTGGTTGTGCAGCACCTTGGTCAGCACTTGTTGCTTTTAAGGTGCTATATAAATGACCTTGACCTTGATATTCTTCCTTGCAATTCTTCCCACAATCTGGTTTAAAATGTGAAAAGAATCTGCCTACACAGACTAAATTCTATTTCGGAGTCGGTGTAAAGTCTGGAGGGAACGTCTTTGCTGTTTACTGTGCAGTGTGCGCTTTTAAGGTGCTATATAAATGACCTTGACCTTGATATTCTTCCTTGCAATTCTTCCCACAATCTGGTTTAAAATGTGAAAAGAATCTGCCTACACAGACTAAATTCTATTTCGGAGTCGGTGTAAAGTCTGGAGGGAACGTCTTTGCTGTTTACTGTGCAGTGTGCACAAATGTTCGGAGTAGATTTACATAGCAGCAGTGTTGGGGGTAATATATTACAAGTAAATGAATTTTAGTTGTTGATATTTTTTATTATTATATATTGTATTTGTGCTTTGTAGTTAGTTAACCCTATAAAGTCTGATATATGAAATAATAAAATCTCTATTTTTTTTATTAAATGTTATTGAATTTTTTAGACAATCTAATAGAACAAATCTGAAAAACGTTTGTAAATTGTTTTTTCTTGAGTATCATTTTTGATACATCAGGCTTTTATGGATCATATAATAAAGTGAGAATATGGAGCTCACACTCGGAGGGGGGAAAAAGTGCCTCAATTTTATTCAAAGGCTAAAATTGAGCTAAAAAAAAAATCTAATTTGGTGCAGTTGCTGATATTTATATGGCCAAAAAGATGAAATTCTCATAGCTTGTAAATGCGATCTTTATAACAGTATTGCAGACTACGGCATAAAATGGTCAGTTGTCGTACTATATCTACCATTAATATGTCTTTGTAATATTATATTTAATTGTTTAGTTTTATGATCAAAGCTCTAGTTTTTATTGATTTTACTAAGAAATAATGGATAATGAAATGGATAATCATGTACACTTAAAATATAACTATCAATATAGAAGTTATTCTTAAGTTTACTCTATAAAAATCCATGTCCACAACCTGACAGTGCAGTGGACATTTTTAGAATTACACTAAAAGGCCTTATATTTGCTATAAACTATCAATCAGACGACAGTAGGCTTTGTGTAAATCAGGTTTTTCAGCTTTTAAGTCTTGATCATGCTCATAACTTGGAAATTTGCATATCAAATATGATACAGTAGACTTCATAGGTTTAACAGAGTTCACAGTTCACTATGCTGTCCGTGAAATGACTGATGTATATTAGTTACAGTTTGTGATGTCTAGGATGTAACGGATCCCGTTTCTTCTGGCCTCCACAGATGTAAAGAAGTCGGCTCTGGGGCTCATAGTGTGGGTGGCCGTGCTGACGACGTGGATCACCATATTTCAGCATTTCAGAGCCCAGTGGGGTGAGGTGGGAGATTACCTCTCCTTCACCATTCCCCTCGGCACAGCCTGATCACATCTGCTGCATTACAATACCTCTGCTTTTTTATTCTCGCTATTTTTCTCCTCCCATCGACAAGATGCTCCTTGGCTCATTTTACTGCTGTCGTCACATAGAAGATAAACTGGATCTGTCTGGGAGTTGTGGTATTTTGTGAACTGATGAAATCGTTTGTTGATTGAGTGAGATAATGTGGACACGGATGCACCATGCTAAATAGCAAGAGTTCATTTCCAGCACTACTACTACTACTTATTTCCTGTTCCTTCTTTCTTTAGTTTGAGTTGAGATGTTTGTTATATTTGAGATCACACATTCATATTGTTAACTCTGATCTCTGTCAGTGCATTGAAAAGAATGTATGACAAAAATGATCTCCGGACCAGGCAGGTCCATCCAAAATAAAGTCTGAAATCTGAGTTGATATGACATGTGATATTATTGTTCGCAAAGAAAAAGGCCATTCATTTTTTTTCTGCTATGTATTAATCATTTGGGTGGACAGTAAAAACCACATATTTTGTCCATAAATATAAAATTGTGTTTTGCACAATTTGAAATAAAATCGGAAAAATGTTCTGCAGTGTCATTTCCTTATCATGAACTGCTAAATACAGAAACATATGGAAATTAACTATTTAAATAAAATGTAAATATTTTAAATATATATAAATATAGTGCTGTCAAACAGTTAATCGCATCCAAAATAAAAGTTTTTGTTTACATACTATATGAGTGTGTATATATAAATACAAACACATGCATGTATATATTTAAGCAAAATATGCTATGTTTATATATTAAACATTTATATATAATTATATAAATATATACATGTAAATATTTTCAAAATATATACTGTATGTGTGTGTATTTATAAATACATAATAAATAAACAGTACACACATTATGTAAACAAACTTATTTTGGATGCAATTAATCGTGATTAATCATTTGACAGCACTAATTAAATATAAAAAGTTTCTAATATTCTATTTAGTAGGGTGACAAAAAAATAAGATTTTCGGCATTAACAGGCAAACATGTTAAAATTAACTATATACATATAGGTATTATATATAATAGTAGAGCTTTTTCAAGTTAACAGGGAGACTTTTACCTCTTAAATATTCATTTTCATTTCATGTTTATTTAGTTCAGTGGTGTGATAGAAAATTGAGATTTTGTGTATTAAGTATTTTAACTATTAAAAATGTTTTTTAATATGCTTATGATTTTTCATGTTTAACATGTTTATATATTTGCATAATAGATTCGATTTAAGTAACAAGCCAAAAATAAGTTTTTACTTAATGTACCTATTTGTGTGGATGCCACAAATAGGAATATAACTAAGGGAAAAAATGTGTCAAAATGTTTACCTTGTTTATGTCCTGTGGTGTGATATGATAACTCCATCTAAAATAATGTAAACAGTATTTTTGTAATTGTATTATAATTATTGTGCATGCATCTTTCAGTACCTCATTAATTCAGAAACTACATGAATATTTAAATCTGTTGGGAAAAAAAAAACTAAAATATACATTTTCCTTTATACAGATGTTTATTTTGTAAACTAAGAGTGTAATCCATGTTCCTTTGTCATCCAACCATTTGCCATTTTTTAGAACTTGTGAACGGAAAACAAAAGCCTGAAAAAGTCAACAGGGCTCTAGAAAAATCCACATGATTGACGAGTCCCCTTGTTCTGTTGCTTACTAATCAACAGCTTGCAATTATTTTAAACCTGCTGCATACCAGACTCTGTAATATCGACGCATGAAGCCTCTGTCTCATGTGTAACCCCTTACAGGCGCCTATTATGAAATTCGATCCAACTTTTGAGTGCACGCTAAGCTCCTCGTGGATCTTCATGGGGGCTGTTTTTAGCCACCTATAGCCAGTGCACGGACAGAAAGTTCTGCTTCTGTTACCAGCGGATGGCAACAGCAGAAGGACATGATATCCTCAGCCCCAATGACTTGCAGTTCTGCCAATACATTTGTCATGATTTAAATCCAAAGGCCAGAGGATACCTGTATTTTCTGAGCTGTAAGCTATAGTAGATGTCTTTAGACATGAGTTGGGAATTATTCTGTTGGAGGTCAGCAGTAGGACAATGTGTTTGGTGTGATATAAAAATATAATTATAAATCCCATCATTCCTTTGACAGGACATTTCCCTGATTTAAAACCTTCGAACAGACATGTCAAAATGTGTAGATTTTGCCACCTTCTTACTGGAAGACATCTCCCATGCTATATCAGACTTTTTAATTAGATGTGTTTATGGTCTAGATTTCACATTATGCAATAGCATTAAACATGTTACTTGATAAACAGACCAAAAGCGATATGGCATCATGCATTTCTTAATGCCTGCCAACCACATTTCTCATTAACACTAAGATAGAAAATGCCAATGACTGGCAGCGGGTGTGCCTGCTCAATATAGCAAAATACTACTATTTCAGACTCTGAAACAGACATGAGCCTCATGTTAAATTAATAAAGGTAATATTAAATGGACTATAATTGCATGTTTAATTTCAATACAAAACCCTTCCATGTAGCTTGTGCAGGTGCATATGTGGAAAAAATTACTTCTCTGGCAACAAGCAGCAGACAATAAACCAAAGATGAACCAGTTTTCACAAGGGATCATAGGCCTATATGCCAGGAACTATACTATATTGAGTCAAACAGCAGTGATTTTTGTTATTTGATTTTCTACATTTTTACATTTGAGGACTTACAAATGAGGACAATAGAAGCAATCAAAACTAACAAAAGAGCAACAATATGTAAGTGCACCGCACATGACAAGTCTCGGTAACGCAGTAAACGTAGCAAGGTATTTATAAAAAAAAAAAAACCTTTGATAGAAGGGGCTGGAAGACCTGCCAAGAGAGCATTGCTATAGTCCAGCCTGGATAGAACAACAGCTTTAACAAGGAGTCGTGTTGCATGTTCTGAAAGAAAGGGCCTGATCTTCCTAAAAAATTTTCGTGTATAAAGCAAATCTGCAGTACCGGGCAGTTTTAGCAATGTGGTCTGAGAAATTTAGCTTATCAATCAATCACAACTCCAAGGTTTCTAGCTGTTTTTGAAGGAGTTATGGTTGATGAGCCTAACTGGATGGTGAAATTGTGATGAAGTGATGGGTTTGATGGAACCACAAGCAGTTCTGTCTTAGCCAGGTTGAGTTGAAGGTGATGGTCCGTCATCCAACAAGAAATGTTTGTTAGACATGCTCAGATGCGAGCAGCTATCGTCGGATCATCAGGATGGACTGATAGGTAGAGTTGAGTGTCATCAGCATAGCGGTGATATGAAAAGCCATGTTTCTGAATGACAGAACCTAGTGATGCCATGTAGACAGAGAAGAGAAGTGGTCCAAGAACTGAGCCCTGAGGCACCCCAGTAGCTAGATGTTGCGATTTGGTCACAACTAGTTCAAGTGTTTTTGCAATGAAAGGTAGAAGGGAAACCGGTCTGTAGTTCTCTAAAAGAGATGGGTTAAGAGTGGGTTTATTAAGGATTGGGGTTATTCAAGCCTGTTTAAACATTGAGGGAAAAACACCAGTGTGAACGGATGTGTTACCGATGTGAGTGAGTGCAGGTACAACAGCAGGAGAAATGGCTTGAAGGAGATGAGATGGAATAGGATCAAGAGGACAAGTAGTAGGATGATTAGAAAGGATGAGTATGGAGATTTCTGTCTCAGAGAGTGAAGAAAATGATGTGAATGAGTGTATGTTTGCTGGTAAGATGTGTTTGACAGTTTGTGGTGTGGAGAATTGTGCATGGAGGTTTGTAATTTTATTAATGAAGAATGTGGCAAAGTCGTCAGCTGTTAAGAGTTGATGAAGGAGGGGGAGGAGGAGGACAAAGGAGGGAGGAAAATGTTTTAAAGAGCATGCGAGAGTTAGTCAAATTATGTTATGTTATTTTGTTGTGATATTATGTCCTTTTAGCAGTGGAGACATTAGCAGAGAATGAAGAGAGGAATGATCAATATACATTAAGGTCAGTAGGATTTTGTGATTTGCGCCATACTCTTTCTGCAGCTCTGAGCTTAGAAGGATGCTCACGGAGAGCATCAGACAGCCAAGGGGCAGAAGAGGTGGTACGAGCTGGCCTGGAAGACAAGGGGCAGACAGTGTCTAAACAAGACGTAAGAGTGGAGCAGAAAGTATCAGTAGCACTGTTAACATCAAGAGATGCTAACTGTTTAGGAGGAGGAAGCGAAGATGAAACCATAGCAGATAGCCGGGAGGGTGAGAGAGAATGTAGGTTACGTTGAAAGATGACATGTGGAGGGGTATGTGTTGTGTCAGGAACCATGTTGAGGTTAAGAGTGAGGAGGAAGTGATCCGAAGTGTGCAGTGGAGTAACCAGTACATGATCAGTGGAGCAGTGTCGTGTGTAAATAAGGTCCAGTTGGTTGCCTGATTTGTGAGTAGCCGCAGTTAACACTCGCTTGAGATCAAGAGGGAAGCAGAGTGTGGAAGTCTGCAGCCTGAGGTTTATCTAGGTGGACGTTGAAGTCTTTTAAAGAAATTTCTGTAAAGAATTTGTCGTCGCGTGACCAAATTGTCTTGGCGCCACTATTAGGCAAACTAATTACAATATTACAAAAAACTATTAAAGCAAAATCTATTTTTCGTGATATATTTGTGAAATACAATGTCCAATAAAGTGAATGATACTCCAGCAAGGGCTATCAATACTTATTTTTTATTGCTCTACCGTCCGTTACAGAAACTTGTAGAGGAACGCAGGTGAGCAGGTTCCTCAAGCAAATGCGTTTTTTTTATGTGTGTGTGGGTATGGGTATATATATTTATTTATTTATGGTAGGCTATACAATGTCTGTCAAGTGATTGATCGCATCCAAAATAAAAGTTTTTGTTTACATTATGCGTGTACTGTGTATATTTAGTAATAGCCTACACACATGCATGTATATATATATATTGTTTATATAATAAATATTTTTATATAAATTATATGCATGTAAATATTTTCAAAAGATATACTGTAGCCTATGTGTGTGTATTTATATATACATAATAAATATAGGCTACACAGCACACACATTTATAATGTAAACAAAAACTTTTATTTTGGATGCGATTAATGGCGATTAATCGTTTGTACTATATAATCGTATAGGCCTAGATGCTATATTGTAATCTGGAAATAGAATATGTAATTTACGTTAAATGTCCGCATGTGCTGTGTCATGTGGATAAATATGACCAGAGCGGTTTGCACTTTCCAATTTATTTATAGACGGACACCTCACCATATTACACATACCACCCTTTGACATTGAATAGTAAGTAGCACATTCGGTTTCTGAGTATCACTCTTTGCTTAATATAAAACAGCCAAGGTGGTGACAGGGATTGGGACCATTTGAATGGGGACCATCGTGTTCCCAACTGAAATATTACATAAGGGGATGCTTTCATCATGGGAATAAAACGAGGGGTTAAATCCCACTCCTGTCACTGGCATTCCATAACAACAAATGCCGCTTTAATAACACTTTTGGCATCGCGCTCCACGATTAACTATCTCAGATCTCTGACAGCACCATCATCAGTCCACTTATTTCTGGCATTTGTTTAAAGGAAGAGCTCATGTAAAGGGGCGGTGTTTTCCTCAAGCTATTTAAACCTCCTACTAACCTAGAGAGCAACACTTTTCCTGCTTTCTGTTGCATAACAGGATAGACTTCAACATAATAACCAACTAGTCATACACTCTGAATTTTCTGAAGCAGTATTAGTCGATTTAGTGGTTATTATTTCACATTCATCCAAGAAACATGGACTTTGACTTGCCTCCTTCTCTTCCGGTGAGCGGTATCCCATGGGAAAGGGTTCTCCCACCGTTATTCCCCCGGTGGAACGGGGAAATGGGACCTTATTCATGGACCCCAACCGAACTTTTAATCCCGGTTTCTGAGCACACCGGAGCAGCACAGGTGGAGTAATACGTGTTATTATAAAAATGATCTGTGGAGGAGGAAGTGATCCGAAGTGTGCAGTGGAGTAACCAGTACATGATCAGTGGAGCAGTGTCGTGTGTAAATAAGGTCCAGTTGGTTGCCTGATTTGTGAGTAGCCGCAGTTAACACTCGCTTGAGATCAAGAGGGAAGCAGAGTGTGGAAGTCTGCAGCCTGAGGTTTATCTAGGTGGACGTTGAAGTCTTTTAAAGAAATTTCTGTAAAGAATTTGTCGTCGCGTGACCAAATTGTCTTGGCGCCACTATTAGGCAAACTAATTACAATATTACAAAAAACTATTAAAGCAAAATCTATTTTTCGTGATATATTTGTGAAATACAATGTCCAATAAAGTGAATGATACTCCAGCAAGGGCTATCAATACTTATTTTTTATTGCTCTACCGTCCGTTACAGAAACTTGTAGAGGAACGCAGGTGAGCAGGTTCCTCAAGCAAATGCGTTTTTTTTATGTGTGTGTGGGTATGGGTATATATATTTATTTATTTATGGTAGGCTATACAATGTCTGTCAAGTGATTGATCGCATCCAAAATAAAAGTTTTTGTTTACATTATGCGTGTACTGTGTATATTTAGTAATAGCCTACACACATGCATGTATATATATATATTGTTTATATAATAAATATTTTTATATAAATTATATGCATGTAAATATTTTCAAAAGATATACTGTAGCCTATGTGTGTGTATTTATATATACATAATAAATATAGGCTACACAGCACACACATTTATAATGTAAACAAAAACTTTTATTTTGGATGCGATTAATGGCGATTAATCGTTTGTACTATATAATCGTATAGGCCTAGATGCTATATTGTAATCTGGAAATAGAATACGTAATTTACGTTAAATGTCCGCATGTGCTGTGTCATGTGGATAAATATGACCAGAGCAGTTTGCACTTTCCAATTTATTTATAGACGGACACCTCACCATATTACACATACCACCCTTTGACATTGAATAGTAAGTAGCACATTCGGTTTCTGAGTATCACTCTTTGCTTAATATAAAACAGCCAAGGTGGTGACAGGGATTGGGACCATTTGAATGGGGACCATCGTGTTCCCAAC